AGATATGCTTGGAGTTACAAATATAAAAAGCAAGGAAGAGTGTTGAAGTTAGCATATATCAGTTATGCTTTTGAATTTGTAATTGTTTTTTTTAGTTTTCTGCAGTTAAGGTCTATGGTTTCTAGTAGTTTTCTTTTGTAAAACTGATATGTACGAGTTGCTTATATTTTAGCAACTCTTATGTCTTGTAATTTTTATTTGAAATGAAAGAGAGTTCCATATCAAAGAAGCTCTTGTTCTGAAAGTTTCTGGTTCTGCATTTTCTGTATTCTTTTACTTTACTGCAGAAACTTACAATACTAAATCAACAGCCTTACAATGGACAATGACAGAGCTTATAAACCATCCTGATGAGGTGCTCAAAAAGCTCAAGGAGGAGATTGACTCGGTTGTTGGATTCAATAGACTTATCAGAGAATCAGATGCCCCAAATCTCCCTAACTTGCAAGCAGTTGTTAAGGAATCCCTACGGCTACATCCTCCGGGGCCTTTGCTCCGGAAATGAGCAACATTGATTGCAAAATCAATGGCTATGATGTCAAAGTAGGGACAAGGTTCTTCATCAACATCTACATGATTATGCGTGATCCTAACAGGTACAAAGATCCAGACAGGTTCCTGCCAGAGAGGTTCTTGGTGGACTCTTCTGTGGCAAATGCTGGTATTCGTCCTCAAGGGGAGAGCGAGGGCCAGGATTTTCACTTCCTTCCATTTGGTAGCGGGAGGAGAGCCTGCATCAGTGCATCACATTCCTCCTTTGTTATGCATGGAACATTGGGAGCTCTGATTCAGTGCTTTGATTTGAAAGTCCAGGGAGCAGAAAAAGTTGATATCAAACTGGGGGCAGGATTTGCAGGGGTACTTCCTTTTCCTCTTGTCAGCTACCCTGTCACCCGTTTCAATCCATTCAAGGCATGATGATGACAAAGAAATCAAAGCTGTGTTGTACAGAATATTGTTGAAATGAACTGTAGGTAGTGAATCAGTGTATGTATGTGTGTTTGTGATCGCTATATGCTACCCCTTCATGTATCTTGTGCAACAATAAGAGCGTTAAAAGTCGTTGCTGCAATATTTGGATTCACAGTGCCTCCCTAGCATTGTCTGTGATCGCTATATGCTACCCCTTCATGTATCTTGTGCAACAATAAGAGCGTTAAAAGTCGTTGCTGCAATATTTGGATTCACAGTGCCTCCCTAGCATAGTTTCACCTTGCTCTGAATTTTAGTCATGAAGGTCAATCAAAGTCTTAAGAACCCCCTTAGGCACACATATATCACTACTATCTAAGTAGTTCTGCCATTAAGGCACTGCTTAATTAGGCCCAGAATTGAGATTGTTCAGGAATACTGCTTTGCTAGTCTCAGTTTCATGATTAGCTAAAAATTTAATCAGATCAATTGCTTCAAAGGAGATAAATAAGAGACTATAGCAGCAATTTCTGCTCCATATACCATAGTTCTGCCATCCACAACATTTTCCTGTGCTCGAATAGAGTGAAGGTCCTCTTGACAAAAAGGCCCATACATTACTGCACATTTTAGAACCCCTTCTCTTTTCTTTCTTCCCTATTCAGATCATATAGGAATAGCACAATCAAGAGAGTGGTAACAACTGTTGGGCCAAAGATGAATTGTCAGAGGTACATCAATCACATGTTAATTAAGAACCATGATAAGCATCATGTCTAAGGTCATGTAGCCTTGCTAGTTACTACCTTTCTAAGCTTCCCTTCTCCCTAAGTGTATTTAATAATCTCTAGAAGCCAATAAGAGCCATCTCTTTACAAAAGATTTAGAGTTTATGAATCTTTATAGCAGCTTGTTGTGTCAAGAATTCTCTTTGAAATCTAATTATCTCTCATTAATCCCATTTCGTAACAGAAAAAGGGTAGAGTTTGTGGTACAGTTGAAAGTGAACAGAAACCTAATCTGCATATATCTTAAAAAATATTGCCAAATCAGAAAGCAGAATCAAGACAATTTAAGATGCTCAAATACTGAAGGAACAAAGAAACCTGAAGATTCTCAAGTATGCTGCCCCAATCCATAATCTTGGCTTGATCGCAACAACCATCCGATTCTGGTACAGCAAGAAAATGACCAATGAATCATAAAATTTGTCAACATTATTGAGATCAGATCACACTGGTCCCGTGCCATAATTCAATGTAGACAACAAATGTCGCCATACTTGCCAAGTTATCATTCTTCCATCATTCAAAAATTAAACATAAAATCAGACACCCTTTAAGGTTTCATATCAAATAATTTGAGCCCAATAACCTTAAGACTTCAGAACCCCAAATATAATCAGAATAAAATTATGGTCATATCCTATTCAAAGAGGATTTTAATACATAATCTCCATCATTATTGCGATTTTAGCTCAGGGAAAAAAAGTTATACATTCTGAATGGATCTCAAGTTTTCCAACTTTCATCTGTTTTGAAAGTCAAGAATGGTATTGAATGTTAGAGCACATTGCTTTCCTAGGCTTTCTTAAGGCTGAAGCTTCTTCAGTCCATGAAATTCTTGAAAGTATCCAGAGAATTTCCTTACTTTGACTCAAGGCTGCTTAACCTTATAGTATTTGACTTCAATTACAAAAATTCATTTCTTAATCCAACTGTTATGACTGTCTTCCCCTTGTTCTCTGAATCTTTTATTATGTTTGTATTTGCTTCATGCTATTACATTTGGATGTCCTTTGGGGGCAAAGGAGAGGCCGGTATTTTTTTCTCTCTGGTAAGTAATAAAGGTGTCATATGTTTGGATGCATGTTATAAGCTTGTATATTTGATAGTTTAGCAATTACAAATTAAAGAGACCGTAAAAAGGAAGACAAGAACGTAAGTCCATCCACCATAGCCTACACTCTAATGGCACTCATTGCCTTTGATTTCAGCTACTACTGGTATCTCTTGTTTGTCAGGATGATTGCTGTCTTTTTGGTGTGCAAGTACACCGGCTTATGCCCCAAGGCCTGGCTGAGACTCCCACGAGTCCTACAGCTTTCGAACTTAGTAGATACTAACTCAGCAAAGCTCTTGTTTTGTAGGTATAGGTACAGAAAATGAATTAAAATTTTAGAAAGGAAACAAATTATGAGGCTACATAATGTAGAAAACACACACAATACCTGAAGTTGAGATGTACCTATCATTGAATACGTCAGAGCATCCTGGATTTCAACCTCAAGGACCACCTGCTCAAATCTCCTCCTCCAGTCACCAATCTTGGCTTGATTGCAATAAACATCCAATTTTGAGACATCAAGAAAATGACCCGAAAATATTGTATGAATAATTATTTCTTTTTGGTCTCCTCATAAAAAATAAAGAAATAAATGTCATAATACCATACAAATATACAATGTATATTGTCATCCTTCATAAACAGCTATGTTGATAGGGCAATGAAGAAGTTATCATCCTTTAATCAATCAAATATTTAACTTAAAATCAGATATCCTGTAAGATTGTTTCAATGTTTGAAATAGTCTTGATGTCTCCTTCAACATATCTATCGATCCCCATTTCTGGATTGCATCATGTGACAGATGTATACTTTGGTCCCAATAATCTTAATAAATTAAAAATGCCAGAGATCATTATCAAACAATGGCATCTTACTCGAGGGCAACTAAAATTTTATTAAATAACCTAGATGGTGGTTGCAATTTTAGCTGATGTTAGGTGACATGTGGAACAAGGTTTATGAATACTTTGTTTCTGATAAAGAGGTGAATGGAAAACAATTACATGAGAGAGGAAAAAGAAGGCAAAACAGAAGATTGAAAATTCGACTTTTTATCCACCTTTGACAGAATTGAAATGCTATGTTCTATGAACAGGACAAGCTACAAATGTCTTATGAATGACATATTTAGTCTGAATCACACACATGCATGATAAATAACAGGAATAGCCAGCTCCTTCCTCATATTATTGAAAGCAGAAGCAACCTCGTTTAAATCTAAAATTCATCCTATCCTGGCATTGAGTAATCTTTTATCAAATTATATTATGAGAATCCTATTTTGTAATCAAGACCGCATCAAACTGTGAAACAAAAACCGTTGGATGGGAGATAGGTCCCCTGATATGGTTTTAAGTTGAGCAATTTGGTATAGTTTAGATTGCACTAACACTTTTTTGTTATATTATTCATATTTACTTCATGAATTTCAACTTTTTTACTGCCATCTTCAGCTTCTGTTTTCTGCTGTTATTTTCCTCAGTCTTCTGAGATCATTCCATACTTCTCCTGCATAATCACTGCATATAGGCTAGGGCCAATCAGATTGATAATTTCTAAGATCCTCAAACCCATTAGAATATTTAATTGATAAAAACAATTGTCTTCTCTATTATATAAGTATCTTCTAGACCAGTCTTCTAATCTAAACTTTCCAAACATTTTCATGGCTAATCTGCAAGAGCAAGAGTACCTTTTACTCTTACCCTTTTTTCTGGCTTCCATCATCCTGTTCCGAACCATATTTAATAAGGTTCAGAACAAGGCTCCTCTTCCACCAAGTCCACCAGCCCTTCCTATCATAGGACACATACACCACCTTATACCTCACCAAGCATTTCACAAGCTCTCAACCCGCTATGGACCCTTAATCTACTTCTTCATTGGCTCAAAACCTAGTGCTCTTGCTTCCACCCCAGATGTTGCAAAAGAAATCCTGAAAACCAATGAAGCTTATATTCTGAACCGCCCCAAAGTAGCTAACCTTGATTTCCTAACATATGGTTCTGCTGATTTCGCTACAGCTTCTTATGGACCTCACTGGAAATTCATGAAGAAACTTCGCATGACTGAACTTCTGGCAGTCGGACACTAGAGCAGCTGAGTCATGTCAGGCACGAGGAGATAAGGCGGTTTCTAAGGCTAATGCTAAAGAAATCTATGGCAGCTGAGGCAGTGGATGTTGGAGCAGAGCTTATGAGGTTAGCAAACAATATAATGTCAAGAATGCTATTGAGGCAAAGGTGTTCAGATAGCAAAAGTGAAGCTGATGAAGTAAGGAAGATGGTGAAGGAGTTGAATCAGCTTGGATCAAAGTTCAATTTGTTAGATACATTTTGGTTCTGTAAGTATGTAAATTTGCAGGGATTTGGGAAAAGGCTTAAGGATGCCCACAACAGGTTTGACTTGATGATGGAGAGGATCATGAAGGAGCACGAGGATGAGAGGAACAAGAGGAATGAAAAGGCTGTGGATGGTGATCATGCAGCTGAGAAAGACATACTCGATATTTTGCTCGATAAATATGAAGATGAGAGATCAGAGTTGAGATTGACCAGAGAAAACAAGAAGGCTTTCATTATGGTAATTAGCTATTGATAAACAATACAATAAAAACAGAACTTAGATACCTAACTTTAATTATGCATATGATGAATCCTTTATAGCTTAACTTGTAATTGAGTATTTCACAGAATATATTTCGGGCTGGAACAGACACATCTTCTGCCACAGTAGAATGGGGCCTGTCAGAGCTGATCAATCATCCAGATGTGATGGAGAAGGCCAGACAGGAAATTAATATTGTAGTTGGAAAGAACAGAGTAGTAGAGGAGTCAAATTTTGCAAACCTTCCTTATCTTCAAGCTGTAATAAAGGAAGTCTTAAGGCTTCACCCAACTGGACCCTTGGTTGTGAGAGAATCATCAGAAGACTGCACTGTTGCAGGATACAGAATTCCAGCAAAAACCCGAGTTTTTGTTAACTTGTGGTTAATAGGAAGGGATCCAAACCACTGGGAAAACCCAAGAGAATTTAGGCCAGAGAGGTTTCTAAGTGAGGAGTGGAATCCAGAGATTCCCATGCTGGATTTGAGGGGGCAGAATTTTCATCTGTTGCCATTCGGGAGCGGAAGAAGAAGCTGCCCTGGAGCCACATTTGCTCTGCAGTTTGTTCCAACAACCCTTGTTGCAATTATTAAGTGTTTTGAACTTAGAGTTGGTGATGGAGGGAATGGTCCTGTTGACATGGATGAGGGACCTGGACTAACCCTTCCAAGGGCTAATTCCCTTGTTTGTGTTACTGTAGCTAGGCTAAATCCATTTCCATCAATCTAATTATAGGATGTCATGCACTATATGCTTGATTTCATGCACTGTTGCTTGGGTATATATATTTTGTATTGGAAGAACAGTACACAATTGTGTTTATCTTTTCCATACACATTCTTTTTCAAGGTATCAAAGCCGATTTTACATAATGGTTACAGTTAATCTACATAACACTTGATTCAATTTTATAAAACGAAATAAGATGATTAAGAATATATGGTGCAGGAATCAGGGCACGGAAGTCTAGTTTTCAAATTTGCGTTGTGGTTGAACGAACCGACAGCCCACAGCTTGTTGTTTGGAAATTGGAACAAGTGAAATAGTAGAGCACAAAAAGAAACGGCCTTGTTAAAAAGCCTCTGGTTTGAACCCATAAGAGCCTCTGGTTTGAGCGCATCCAGTGTTCCAAGAAAAAGTGAATTACAAATCCGGGGGCCACACCCAGTCACCCACAAGTACCAACCCCAATACCCCCTACTTCTTCTACTTCTATAAATGCCCCTCTCCCTCCCTCTCATTTTATTCATAACTGGCTTTCTAGTTCTAATCAAATAACATTAAGAAGCAAGAAAAAGAAGAAGATGGAGGCAATCCAGTCATGGGTATCAAAACACAAGCTCACCAGCATTGGTCAGCGTTATTAATACTTCAACATTTTCTTTTTTTGTTTCAGTTTTCATGATGAGTTAATGGTACACTGAAATGGGGTTTTACTTTTGCAGGAGCAATTTGGGCCTCAGCAATTGGAGCATCTCTGGCTTGGAACAGCCATGCAAGAACTCCTCTCAAGCCAAGTCTCAGGCTTATCCATGCCAGGTAGCTACTCCTCAGTCCTCTCAGCAACTGGTGCTGTGCTGGTGGTTAATTATTTCTTTCTGTGTTGTTATGAACTGCTGAAAACATGTATACCTATCTTTTCTTAGGTTGCATGCACAAGCCGTAACACTGGCAGTTCTGTCTGGTGCAGCAGCCTACCATTACTATGAGAAGAATAGCATGAAGAAAGCAGATCCCACTGTCCCTAAATCTAAATGACTCTTGTAATAACTTTATCAACAGAGGTTTATCTATGATTTTACTGGATGATGATGAAAATGTTGCTTTTCTTAGTGATGCACGATGCATCTGCTTCTCGTAGGAGAACTATATTATTTTACAACAATGTTTGAGATTAGTTGATCTTCATCAATGTACTGGTTCTTATTGCCCTTTTCTTTGCAATAAATTAAAGACCCTAAAGAATCCCATATTTCCCATCTCTCAATCATAACTCATATATGTTCATAATTAAGCACCTCTTGAAATGTTGGATTTGAAAACTACCAAGTTGATAATTTTTTTTTGAACTGAAGTTAAATACCAAGTTGATAATTTATGCAAGACATGTATACTGGATTCTGATTCATTTTTGATCGGTCATATATGGTTGGGCTACAAGGAGATTGAGCCTAGCACATTATATTTAATGTCCCAAAAGTTTCCCCTTCCTTTTGACTTCAATACTCGATCAACCTGACAATTTCCAAAGACAGAATGCGGAAATACACACAATCAAATGAAATAGTCTATGGAAAAGCAACATTACCTATTTTCTAAAAAAAAGTCTATGGAAAAGCAAATAAACTATTCGGGAAGGAAGAATACTCACACGGAATCATTGAATACATTTTTGGAGTCGTTCACACAAAGATAGTGAGTGAAGAATGCTTTACTATTTGCTTTGATTGTATTTGGCTTCTCCTTCCAATAATGGTGTTGTGGTTAGGACAACCTTAGACAAGTTTAAGAAAGGGAAAATGATAATAATCATTGAATCACACAAAGATAGTGATTGAAGAATTCTTTACTATTTGCTTTGATTGCATTTGGCTTCTCCTGACAATAATCCTTAAATGGATAACTCAACGGTTAAAATTTTAAAATTATACATTAAAAATCTTAAGTTTAAACCATAAGTTAAGTGAGTAGTAATTTGAGAAAATGTGATAATTATCACTTCTTATATAACATATAATTAGATGTATTAAAAAAAAAAAAACAATTAACACACATTTTGGTTAAACATACTTATTTATACTTGTTTGCTTTAATTATTAAAATATTTTTAATTTAATTATTAAAATATAAAATAAATACAATTAATTTAATTTATTCATATAAACTATATACATGATTGTATCTTTAAGTTTGCTCATTTTAATTTTAAATTAAAAAATAATAATTTTTTAATAATTATATTATATAATGTATTGAATAAAAATATATATCAATTACTGTTGTTATAAAATGGCTCAGATAAATACAAGATGACAGCTAAGGGCACTGCTTTGAGCCCTGCCGGCCAGTTGCCGCCCAAAAGTTGTCATATATAAACAGCTCTCTGGAATCAATAGCTTGCTCTTTGTTCAAGATGGCTGATATCCAAGGCTATCTCATTCTTTTTCTTGTTTGGCTAGTCTCTGTGCGTTTTGGTCCGAGCAATCTTCACCAAGATACGGACTACGTACATCAAAACTTCCACCAAACCCACTGGCCCTGCTGATCATTGGACCTCTCCACCTCCTTCCACCAATACCTCACCAAGCTCTTTACAAGCTTTCAATCCGATATGGACCCCTAATGCATATCTTCCTTGGCTCTGTACCTTGTGTTGTTGCTTCCTCCCCTGAAATGGCCAAAGAGTTCCTCAAAACCCGTGAGACATCATTCTCCAACCGTCCAAAATTGGCTGCTGTTGACTACCTGACATACGGATCAGCTTCTCCTTTGCTCCTTACGGCCCTTATTGGAAGTTCACGAGGAAACTGTGTATGACTGAACTTCTTGGTGACCGGATGTTACATCACCTCCTTCCAGTCAGGCATGAAGGGATAAGGAAGTTTCTGCAGTTCATGACAAGAAAAGCAAATGGAGGTGAGACGGTTAATGTTAGAAAACAGCTGATACAGCTAACAAATAACGTAGTGTCAAGGATGATGATGGGTCAAACATGTTCTGATAATGAAGATGAGGCTGAACAGGTTAGGAAGTTGGTGCAAGCAACAGCTGAACTAACAGGGAAGTTTAATCTGTCAGAATTTATTTGGTTCTGTAAGAACTTGGATTTGCCAGGATTCAGGAAACAGCTTAAGCAAGTTCGTGACAAGTTTGATGAAATTAAGGAGAAAATTATAGAGGAACATGAGGAGGCAAGAAAAGCGAAGAAGGCAGTGATGATTCAGTTAAGGATTTACTCCATATTTTACTTGATATATCAGAAGATGACAGCGCCGAGATGAGATTGACCAGAGAAAACATAAAGGCCTTCATCCTGGTATGAGACGTTGACATTCTCACTCCTTGCTTGCTTGCTCACATACACGTACTGAAAGCTTCACCCTGAGAAAATCTTGGCTATCTAGCTTTTTCTCACACCCTCCCCGAGAGGCAAAGATTTCTAACTGAATCCATGAAGTAGTGTTCCCATGGTAATTTTATAAACAAAACTGACATGTGGTTTGTAAATTTTACAGGATATATTTGCAGCTGGGACTGACACATCTGCGAGAACTACAGAATTGGCACTTGCAGAGCTAATCAATCACCCTAACATAATGGAGAAAGCAAGAGAAGAGATTGATTTTGTAGTAGGAAGAGCAGAATAGTAGAAGAATCAGATATTGCCAACCTCCCCTACCTCCAAGCCATAGTAAAGGAAACACTAAGGCTTCACCCAACAGGGCCAATAATTGTGAGAGTCAAGTGAAAACTGTACCATAGGTGGTTATGAGATTCCAGCAAAGACCAGACTCCTTGTTAATGTCTGGGCAATTGGTAGGGATCCAACTCACTGGGAGAACCCGCTTGAATTCTGCCCAGAGCGGTTTGTTAGCAAAAAGGGGAGCGGTAAGAGCCAGTTGGATGTGAGGCAACAGCACTTTCATCTACTGCCATTTGGAAGTGGAAGAAGAGGACGTCCTGGAACCTCATTGGCACTACAGGTTGTTCAGACAAGCCTTGCTGCTAAAATTCAGTGCTTCGACTGGAAGGTTGAACGATGAAATGGTACTGTCAGCATGGAAGAAGGACCTAGACTTACCCTTCCAAGGGCACATCCTTTAATCTGCTTCCCACTTCCAAGGCTAAATCCGTTTCCATCATTTTGATATCTCAAGCAATCAAAAAACAAAAATATAATTTTAGTCGTTGTAGACTGTTTGTCTACCACTAATTCATGAACAAAGATCAATAAGCAAAGATCAATAAGCAAGTTCTTATATATATATATATATACATACATACATATATATATATTGTATCCTAGATCCTTTTTTTACAAAATTTAACTTGTGTTTCATGAGTTGCTAGGGTTCAATCAATCAACCACATCACGCCACAATCAAAGATGAAGACAAACAATCCATTCGAGTCTCAACCAGTAAATAAGTCATCTCTTGTTAGTATTCATTACATAGCCATAACTCCATTAGCACTGAATGTTTCAAATCTCTTGATGACAAAAATTCAATTCTAATGCAAGAAATTCATTTCTGTGACAGCTCTAACTATAGCCAGGCATTTTAAACTTCCTGCTCCAGTTTGGATCTAAGAAACCTGGATACAGATGGCCTTAGCAGTTAGCAAATAACGTATAGGCATCTTCTTCATGGATTCTACAACTACCACACAAATTATGGCAGTAATAATAAACAAGAACAGAAAAAAACAACAATAACTTAGCCAATTTAGTAGCCACTATCTTCAAAACTTGATTTTGGGATAAGGTTAGGGATTCCAATCACTGCACTAAATTCCTTTGCTGATATCAAAAATTAAGTACAGCAAAATAGAATTGTACCTAATAGAGGAATTCAACTAATGATAGCAACACCCTGCTTCTAGAAAGATATCCACTGCTGTAAAAGCTATAGTTAGGGATGTAAATAAGTTAAGCTACTCGATTCAAGCTCAAGTATTAGGCACCACAAAAATTTTACTCAAACAAAATTTCTAAAACATTATAGCTAAGCCAAGCCAAGAAAACACTTACTCCACATAACAAGCTCACCTGTATAAAATTCAAAATGACAAGCATGATCATGACCTAAATTCCCTCAAACTTCTTCCACAGTTCAATTCTCCATCTCCAATTTAGAATCTTTTAAGAAAACTAAAGTAAGAGACATGATGATTCCTAAGCAATTTAAAAACCTAAAACAGAGTAATAATTCTTGTCACTGGTTCAAAAATCAACATCTTGAAAACAATAACAAGCATGAATCAAATTCATAGATTAGGCAAACATCTTGATAACTAGTTATTGAAGTTTAGAAGCTCCTCAACATTAATCAAAACATAATTGCATGCAAATGCAAATTAAAACGGCTTACAATAGCTAAAGCCAGGAGGTGTGGGATGGGGATAATGGGTATGTAGGTATGCTTTACTCTCTTCAACAGGATGATGTTCAACCTTCTGATGGCCTCTTCTCTTCCGAGGAAGGCATTGAAGATTGCATATAGGGCAGCTTGCCGGATCGAAAGACTGCAAATTTTGACATTTCTGAGTAAGAATAGGAAATCCCATTCTCCTTCAGAAACTCCTCAAGCACCCTCTTTACCGCCTCCGGATCCCCACTCTCACACTCTATTTCATAGCAGATACCAAATGCATACCTAGTCTCGTCTACCTCCAGCTTCAACTGCCTCCACTCATAAACCATTCTCACATTCTGAAAGCCACCCAAACACACAAAACTCACTTCATCCCCCAACCCAAACTCCTCTTTAACCCTCTTCAAAATCCTCGATTGGATCTCCCTCAACCTCGTCGGATCTTCCACGCAGGCACGGGCTGTCAAGGGTTCTAACTCCTCCTCATCTTCCTCCACGCGGCTGACGCCGTTGACCAGGGTGGGCCTTGCCTTGAGGGATGCGATGCAGCGGGTGTCGTTATCGAGGAACCGGAGGCGGAGAACTGCCCGTTGGGACGAGAGATCGCTTTTAGTAGTGTCGAAAAAGATATTTTCTTGGTGAAGGGTTTTCCGGAGATAGGGGGAGAGGATTGTGGTGAGTTGGCCGTGGGCGGCGGCGTCTGCTAAACGAAGCTTCACTTCAACCTCCATCTGCTGAGGTGGTTGGAGGTTGTTACTGAGAAATACCGATGCGGTTGGATTTGGAATTAGGGTTGGATTGGAAGCGGTCGAGGAGATGGAGGATGGAGGATGTGGTGGCGGAGGAAGAGGGATTGGCGGTGGTGGTGGGGGGAGGATTGCGGGATTCTTCAAGTTCCTCTTTGTCTTCGAGCTTGATTTCGATTTTGGTCGGCTTTCTCCTCAACATTTCTTCTGCGGAATCGCCGGCATCGAAAGATAGTCCGGAGTCAAGAGAAGGGCAAAGCTTAACAATAAGTCGAGAATAGACGATGACTTGGCAAGTGGCCCAGTCTTTGATGCTGCACAACTATTTTCTATGAAACTTATTTATATAATTTTTATATATTATTAAATAAATATATATTATTATAAATTTTAAATAAATAAAAAATTAATTATTTCA